GCATTTCATTACCTTGCTACTTTGAAATGAAACAAACTCTTTAGAACCCTATGCAGTTATCTATGCTCCAGAGATTGATCATTCCAGAGGTTGGAGTTTCTGTTTCTTACTTCAAGGCCATATTCTTCCCACCCTACTGAAGGAAGGTGGCAAGGGTGATCACAGATCCTCTTAGAATTCAGTGCTAACTGAATTCCAAACATGAGGCCACTGTGGTAGGAGGCCTACAGATGGCTCTCCTGCCACAGCTCCTCCTGAAGAACAGGTGTCAACAGCAGGGCCACTGCTTCCCCATCCTGAGTCTAAAAGAGAAATCCTATTATCCTTAGGTTTCTCTATTGCCAAAAGGCTTACTCCTGCCCTATGCCCCCTAAAAATTTGTGCCCAAGTAAATGCTTCTTGCCAAACAGGGTCCAGGCCAGCACCTGAATCTCTGATATAGAATGCATTTACACATTCCTCTGCTAACTGAGTGATCTTATCAAAACAGGATACAGGTTTCCTTGTCATAAATTGTTATTACGGAAATGCACCCAAACCATGCCTTCTCTAAGTTCCCACAGTCATCTGCTTAATGAGAGGGCCTCCCTGGTGGCGCAAGGGGTTAAGACACAATCTATGAAGCTATTCGCAGCCACTGCAGCACGAGTTTGATCCCTGGCCTGCCAGGGAGCTACCCACATGGTGCAGCAGACCTCTCCTGTCTCCCCTGCTGGTCCCCTCAGCAGTGTACTTCAGTCAACCCGCCTGTTCTGTTTCCCACTCTGTCTCTGGTGAATCCTCTCAACCCACCCCCCACACCTCTGGCCTGTACCCCAGTTCTTGTATGCATAAATAAATAAATCTTTAAAAAAAACCTGCCAGAATAACAAACTTATTGATTTGCTCCAAAGACAGCTTTTCCCCTTTATGAAAATTAAGATACTACTTGTCAATCGTTTAATGTTACCTTATACACTCATGTGGCAGAGGTAGCATAAGACAAGTTATACCACAATAAACCTATTTCAATGACCTGAAAGAGTATCGGAAAAAAGATGAAAAAGAAGACAATTAAAGTCTAACTTGTAGGCTAGATATTACCCTGGTATATATATGTAACTATTCATGGTTGACATCCTTTTTCCTGTGCAATACTAATAGAAATTATTCTAATACATATACATGTGAACACATACATATGTATATATAACATACATACCACCTAGAATAGAGATGGTATGTGCATGTGTGTATATGTAGATGGTGTGTATGTGTACAGTGCATGTGCATATATGTCTATGCATCCTATAATAGTAACAACTACAGTTACAACTGAAGAAGGAGGGAAGGGGCTGGAAAAGGAGCAGCATGCAAGTGTGGGTCTCTAGCCTTTCTTTCATAACACCACTTCAATACCCACCTTCAAACACCCATGAGGAATCATCAAGTACCTTGACTGACAGGTAATTGTCCCCTTTTACATACATTGTTTTCCTTGAATCTTGAATTTATTACCAACTTGACTATCAAGAAAAGAATTTCATATCAAATCATCTACAAAATTTCACCACATATTCAATGATTAAGCGTATTGTACTTGAAGTATTTGAGCTCACTTGGCGAAGCCTCAAATTAAGTCATTACTTCTACATTAATTTAGTAGTTATGTGTTTTTTAATAAAAAAAATGGGTCAGATGTGCCATAGAGGAGATGAGTTATAAAGTATGGTTTAATTTATTCAGCAGTATCCAAACACCTGATTGTCACGAATGATTCCTTTAATGCATTCCTAATGAAGACTGGATTCAGACCAAGATGAAGATGCTTAACTTGGTAAGTAAAATGTCCTCAGGTTCTCTTAAAGGATCAGAAAATTTTATATTAAACATGGAAGAATAGGCCATAATCTCTATTTTTTCCCCCTTCACAGAAATGCTAGCTACAAATAAGGCCTAAAAAATTTAGTATTGTTAAAACTGTGTACTTTTAAAAACTTGTGAACTGGTGGGGCCTCACTAAAGAAGAGGTCCGTAATAAATCCCTTTAGCTGTCAAATTAGACTTAGACTGAGGCAGGAGCATCTGGGAGTCCTGCAATAGTGGGCAAACTCCCTCCACACAAGGACATTCTTGTCTCATTGTTTAGGGTTGTAAGTGGAGCAGAAAAGGCCAAGTACATGAAGGTGAAGGGCATTATAATACCGCTCACCCGATTTCTTTGTAAAATATATACCATGATGTGTGTAGCAAACTGGAATTCAGAACCTACAAGTCTAATTCCAAGGAAGAGCATTCATTGGGTTCAAAGTTACTCATAACACCATTGATGTTAGAGCTGAGATATAATGCTACAAATGCATTTATATTGATTAATAGTAATTCAACAAGTATCTATACTAAGTGCCAAGTCCTGAGCCAAATGCACAATTTTTATTTATTTTATTTTTTTACATCATTGTTCATTTTTGTGCAATATTTGATTTCTCCCCTGAGGTGTAGTCCCCATAGTTTTCCCACCACCACCACCTGCAAACGCACATATTAAAATGCATGTTTTTTTCTAACATCACCCCTGTTTTGATTGAGGAAAAGATTTGATTGAGACTAGAAAGTGTAATAAATTGTGCAAAGCTCACAGGAGTGACAGAGGCAGGATGTGAATCTACTGCTCAGTGCTTGTCATCACTATGGAGCAGCTCAGTCTCCACTGCACACAGGATCTTGGGCCTGGAAAGGCCCAGCTCTAGATGTTACAGGGGATTCCAGCCAGTGCTTTCTAGTGCCATAAGCAGGCTTCCCTACACATCAGAGGCCACTTTTATGATTGTTGGGGCTGCTTAGCTGGCAGAAGTGGAAGGAAAAAGAAAAGGAGCTGACCAGATTGTTACTTCCTATCTGACCAGAGCCCCAGTGGCTCACCAGCTTCTGACTAACCAGGAAGCTCATGCACAAAGAGAGAGAAATGGTCTCTGGCAGGTCCCTCTGTGGTATGTTCTGATCTGAGAAAAACAAGCTTATTTGCAGTAGGACCCTCCTTCAACAGTTCTCTCAGTGCTTTAAATTGTCACCACATTAGCACCTCAGAAGCTGAAGCTGCCTTCCATCCAGGCAAACAGGCATCTGCCCCAGCATTTCATCCCGGATTAAACCCTGCTGGCACAGATTCTGACCCCAGCATGCTATACAGTCCCTGTGCATTAGGAAGCACTGTGTGAACCCCCATTTCCGATAGCCAAGAAAGGCGGGGGGGGGGGGGCAGTTTCATAAGGTCTGCCCAACAGTGAGAAGCAATGACAGGTGCAACTGGAGATTACAGCTTGTCTTTAAAGTCATCTCCAAATACAGGCACACAGCAAAGGGAGAGAAGAAAACTCAACTTCCACGTGCACCTTTAATGGAAAGGAAAAATCCTATGGGGGTGACAGCCTCCCTACCCATTACCTGTGTTGGCAACAGGGGGTGCCAGGCCTCCTCTCTCCTCCCCATCATATCCTTGCCTAGTCTCTCAGCTCATGGCAACATCAGGCCCAAATGTCATCCGGAATTTTAGCTCTCAAATCCCACGAGGACCAGGAAACATCAACTGCAGCGACAAAACCACTCCATACAAGGAACGGAGGGATCCAGAGACAGGGGCTCTGGGGGTGCAGTTCTGGGCCCCTACCCCACCCCCTCCCGCCCCCCAACCAAATGCCTACAGCAAATCAAGGGCTAGATCTCTCAGCTCTTCTACAATAAACACACACACTCCACACCCTCCTTGCACGCTACGGCATCCACACCCGCAGACCTCACACTCGCTCGGGGACACCTGCCCCAGCACACTCGCTCACCCCGCTAAGCACCGGGTCCCCCACACTTGCACACCTGCCCCCGATTTTACCGGCACTTGCTCCCCGCCCCCTGCACTCCGGTCGGCGCGCGCGCACCCTCCCCAGCCCGCGCACCGCCGTCCCCACCCGCAGGGAACTCGCTCGCTCGCCCCCTCCCCCCGCGGCACGGCCCCCGCCCTCCGGCCCACCCTGTGCGCTGGACCCCGGCCTGCGCCCGGCTCCGGGCAGGCCGCCGCCCTCCGCACTCACCAGGGCTCGGCGCCCGCCGGCCTTCGCCGTCCCGGTGCCGGCCCTGCGGCCTGGGGCCCGCGCCGCCCGCTCCCGGCCCGCGGCTCCTGGGCTGGCCCGACCCCGCCGCCGCCGCTTCCCGTCACGTGGGGCGGCCGCCCGGCACCCGCGGAGGGCGGGAGCGCGGCTCTGTCCGCGCCGCCCGGCCCCGGCCTGCGGGTCCCCAGCACCCCGGCTTTCCTGCGTTCGGTCAGGAAGCCCACGGGTGCCCAGGGCCCGGGTGGGGCACGCCCCCGGAGCGGCCTGTAGGGTAAAAGGAGTTAATTCCTTCAAAGCCCTTGGAACACTGCATGGTAAGGGGTCGGTGCTCAGCAAATGTTAATGATGACTGTTGGTGGTGGTGGTGATGTATTTTCTCTTCACCCACTGAAAACAAGGGCCTTGCCCGATTTGCTCACCACTATTTCTAATGCCAAAATAGGGTTGAGCATAGTGCAGGCACTCAGGAACTTACCTGGTGAATGCGTGAAAGAATGAATGAATCAGTTGTCTGTTAATCCTGGGAAAGCTAGCACCAGGATGCCACCTGAGTGGGCCTTGAGGAGTTGCTTTGCTAGTGGCATTCCCTAACCAGAGCTGAAATGGATTGTAGGCCAGGAATGGCCCACCTACCAGGCCCTCAACTAATCCGGAGCCCCTGGGCCTAAAAGGAATTCCCTAGGGGATAAGGTATGTATATTTAGCCTGCACTTAAGAAGGGTGTTTTTTCTGAGTGTTTTACCCACTACTTTTAGGAAAGCCCATTATTAGTTACTCCTTTGTGTGAAGCCACTCTGAGAAATCCTAGGTTACCAAAATCCAATCTCATGATAAACTGTCGCTCCAGAGTTGTTCACACTCATTTATTAGCATATAAAAAAAATTTCTCAGTGATTTTTCCCTCTCTTTAAAACTCACCAGTGACTTGTGGTCTCAGCTTTCTTCCAGCCCCTGCAGATTATAAAACATAGATGTGATCCCCAGCTAGGAGGCAGATACCAGATTCTATTCTGGTCTGTTTTAAAGGGATAACAACAATGCTATTAAGAATTAATCTTCTGTAATCTTGCTTTTACCCCCTCCCCATACATATACCTCCCCTAAAGACAGTACTTCAGCTCTGACCCAGTAGGGGTGGGACCTAGTAAACTGTTTTTTACAAACTCTCTATGTCACTTTAGTGCTCACTCAATTCTGAGAACCACTGATCTATCTAGTAGACTGTGTAGAAGAAATATCCACCTGACCAGGATCTAAGGCAAAAAATAAACTCTAGTGTAAAGCTCAGTTAAGAAGTATCTGAGATTAAGGAACAGTTTATTCACATTCATTCCATACACACTTATTGTTCTTACACTATTTGCCAGGCCCTGTGGTAGGTGCAGAGAATACAAAGATGAAACAGTTTCAAGCTGCTCATGAAAGAGGTGACCTATGAAAGCCTTTTACCAGAAAGTCAGTAGTTTAAATATGCAAATGCATCTTTATTATGATCTGGTTGATTGTGAAGGAGAAAGACAATAATAAAATCATAGTTATCATTTGAGGGTAGCTCTATGAAATGCAAAGCAGAAATGTGGCTCAAAACAACAAAAACACAGGTCCAAAAAGTATTTTTTAAACTGTTACCTTCACTTTGAAACTCCTGAATTTTAACTATACTCAGATATATTTTTGACAACTAATGATAAAATATATGAAACATAAATATCATAAGCATTACACTACCAACAAGAGAAATCGAAAACCCAAACTTCTCAATATATTCATTCATAAAACATGTATAACGAACCTCCTAAGTGCATGCACTATGCATTGCATGCTAGTGACCAGGTGGAAAATGCAAACACAATATATGGCTCCTGTCCAAGAGGAACTTAGAATCTAGTGAGGAGACGATGCCAGGCTGGGCAGTATTTGTTGCTTTCCCTCAGTTTTGTTCTTGTCATTGATAGGTACCAAATAAAGATGTTAATGAATAAAACCCTGTAAACTTTGAATGAAGGGAAAAGTCTATAATAGTAAATCTAAAAATAGGATTTACTCATTATAGTAAACCTAAAAATTTATGGTGACTATATAATACTCACAGATAGTACTGAAATGAGAATAAACTTCCTGTCTACAAGCTCAAATATATGGCAAGTAGGATTTTTTTTGTGACTGAGCTTTATTTTTATTTTCAGCCCCCCTTCAGCTGCAGTGATAATAATCTTATCAATGAAACCCTCCCCATTCCCAGGTTAAGGAAATGCTTTAGTGCTAAGGGAGGAGAGCAAGACATCAACTTTCCCATAAGGCTTCTGAGATGTTCTTTTTCCACTCTGGGTTATCATTTTCAATATTTTGGTTTCAGTGCTCACAGGCCTGCCCCTCCAATTATGATGGGTGCCAGGTTTGTGAGTTTGGGATAGTACATGGTTTCCTTTCCTGGTGATATGGCAGATATCTCCATGAGGTGGCCCTTCCTCCTAGATATATTTGAAACATCACCTCAGGACTTGTTAGAAGTAAGAACTTCCTACATCAGAAACTTTAATTATTAAAGACAGTAAGTCCACTGAAACTTCTCCAAGGCACCACCGCTCCAAGGCTCTGCCCTGCATGGAGTGGGGACAGGCATTACCAAATGGTCTCTTCTTTTAAGGCAGAAGGAAGGTGTTAGAATCTTATTCCTGCTCTCTAAAACTTGATTTTTTTCCCCCTGTCTCAAGAGACACCATCAATTCTGCACTTTTGCTTCAAAATTGTCTAGAATTGTCTTAATGACAAGGCAAAGTGGTTAAACTGGTCTTAGATCTGAAAGAAAGAACTTTTTTCTGACACTTGCTTTAAGAAGCAAAGGTTGAAAATTTATTGACAACTGACAACCTTGAGCTGAGCTCCAAGGCTAGCTGGGAACTGAGAAGGCAGAAGGGGCCCCCCAGAGAGGGAGGGACACATTGACAGAAATTCAAGATGCCAGATAGCTGAGGAAAAGTCTTTTTTTCTTCATGTATAAAGAGTCTCATGACTTGCCAGTAAATTTTATAATCAAGTCCACATTTCTTTGCCCAAACCCACTTTCTAGTCAATAAAATTTAACAACTTTGTTCTCAACACTGGTCCCGAAAACCTCATTCATTTTCTTAATATGAGGGGTAGATATGAGTTTATCTCTTACCTCCTGGCCAATTAACTTGAAAATAAAGCCGATTTCTTTTCTCAAATCCCTGATGTCATTATCTGATCTATGCATGTCAGCTAGGGGACCCCATTGGTCATAATACTAATGGAGTTAATTTTAGTTACATTTGAATTGGGAGGAAAAAAAATACAGATCTTACCTGCCACAAAACATTTTTTCTGATGAAGAGCATAAGGCTTCAGATTAGATTATTAGCCAGAAAATCACCAGGAGAAAGAATACAGCAAGGACCTGTAATAATATTTTATCTTAAAAAATTCATTTTTTTCTCACCTACATCAACATCTCCTTTGATGACAGTTAACAGACTGTAACATCTCTCTAAGTAGAGGCAATAGGGGAGAAGTTTTACAAAATTTGGCTCCCATCTCACTGACAACACTATGAAGTGTCTTTGTAATTTCCATTTCACAGGTGAGGACCAAAAGTGAAAACTTCATGAAGTATTTGTCGTAGGTAAGTCCTAAAGCCAAGGTTATAATTCCAGACTGGGTCACTTCAAAATCTGCCCTTTCTTCAATTTTCTGGACTGCTTCTGTAAACAAAATCTTTCTAAAAACTACCACCAGTTAGTAAGCAAGTTCTCTGTGGCAGTTGTGTTATTTAATCTCTACTCCTTTGATGGTTCTTCACAGAAGGTGTTAGTTCATAAGTATTCTGATGGTAAGACTGAGGTTGATTTGAGTAACTCAGCCAAGGTGTTCTGTGCAGCACAGTAAAATATGAATTGACATCTAGCTTTCAAATCTAGACTCCACCCAACGCACTAAAACAATGTGTTTTCCAGTAAAGAAAATGGGGATAATAATACAAGTCACACTTCACTATTGCTATGAAAATCAAATCAGATTTTGGATATGGAATATCATGATGTTAGTACCAGGAAGCTCATACACTTAATTCCAAATTAGGACATCCAATTTGGATGTTCATGGGTTTTGGAATGGTCCAGTTTTGGATTATAATTCAGGGTTCAGCCTTCGCTTAGGACAAGTCACTTAATGTCCTTTTGAATCAATTTCCTCAGCACTAAAATGAAAGAAGTGAATTGAGTAACTTAAGTTTCTACCCAGCTCTGAAATTCAATTTCTAAATTATCATATACATCAATGATTAAGAAAAATCGCAAAACACCTCTCAGCTTTGTCTTTTTGATTTAGCATCTCATTTATTTCCCAATACAGCTCTCATCTGTACAATCTTAGTTGTATTTTTTGTAGACAATGCAATAATTTCCAGCAAAATGATACATCAGATTGGATGCAAACTATAAGTCTTTGGAACTTGTCAACAAATTTCAGATGTGTAAAATATTTGGGGATCTGTCTCTTCCATAAAAGATGACAGTAGAAAAGGCTTCTTAGTAAATGAAGGGATTAGATCGCAATTGACACCTGCAACAATTTATTTAAACTAACCTGCTACTTAAGTGTATTTGTAAGTGCAGAGGAAAAGTACTTGAATGTCATTCTTGCTACTTTCTCCTTCTGACCTTGATCAAATTACCCTAAGCCTGTTTCCTTACCTGAAAAGTAACTATTCTAATACTATACATATATATGCCGAAAAAGAGCTGTTCAGAGAAATGAGATAGTCCAAGTAAAATGCAGTACCTGGCACATAGTTAAATGTCTAACAAACGTTTGGCTGATGTCACCGTCGTTTCTCTGTTGGTTATTATTTTCATAAGTGAGCAGGTCAGGAGTATTATTTCAGGGAACAAATACTTGAGTGCCTACTACGTGAGAAATGCCGGGGTTAAGAGATTTAAAGTCCCCGGCCTGACATAATAGAGGATCAAAAGACAAACCAAGATAATTTCAGACGTGACAAGTGCCGTGTTTAGACATCTCTGCCTCTCTCCCGCGAGGCTGCCCTGGGAATCCCTTTGGCCTCTGCCATTGGACGTCACAGTAAGCGCGACCATCGCGGGCGGCTCCGTGAACTCCGCCTTCCCCTCTCTTCTGTAAGACTTAAAAAGCCAGTCTTTTGTTCAGCCGACATCCCCTTCATTCTTTTGGCTCCGGGGAGCTTTCTCCCCGGACCGCCAGCCCCGGACTCATCGCGAGAGACACACTAGGACGCGCGGCGCGTCCAGAGCGACGACACGAGCCCCGCCCCGCTCACGTCGCTTCCGGGACACTTCCTTCGCGGAGCCTTGTGGGTAGCCGACCTGGGGTCTCCTGGCGACGACGATGGCGGGGGATGTGGGCGGTCGCAGCTGCACGGACTCGGAGCTCCTGCTGCACCCGGAGCTGCTGTCCCAGGAGTTCCTTCTCCTCACCCTGGAGCAGGTCGGACGCACCGGGGCGGGTGGGCCTGCTTAGGAGAAGTGCTCGGACCTGAGCTGGCCCAAGTATTCCTCAGGGGCGACGGACACTCCCCCGTCGTCGTCGCCCCTCCTTGCGGTTTGCGCCACCCTCCACCCAACACATACCCACTGGGTCTCCCTGCGTCCCCACGCCTCGGCCTCTATCCGGGAAAGAGACGTCCTCAGAGTGTCAGAAATTCCTAGCAATTAGAACTCATTTTTTGGGGGGTCTCTGATGGCATGGACAGAGGCGTCCTAGGTGATCCCCGTGGTTGTAGGTAAGCAAGGACCGGAGGAAGTGAGGGCCTGGCGAAGAAGCTTAGAGAATGGAAACGAAGGGTAATAATCAGGGGCTGTCGTGACTGAAAGCATCGGAGAAATAGCCATTCTCCACACTCACCTCATTTAAAGATGAAGAAACCGAGCCCCAGAGAGTCGACGTGACTTATTTTAGGTCACACAATCGATGAATGGTGCAGCCAGGAGAAAAACTCAGGGCTTCTGACTCAGTAAGGGGTGCTTGCTTTCAGCTGATGTTACCTCTGAGAAGGTTAAAAAAAAAAAAAAAAAAAAAAAAAGATGACCAAAGGGGATAAAAAAGTGATTTGTTTACTGAAAGAATTCTTGGGGGCTTATTTATATAGCATGTTTTGTTGTGTTTTCTTCTGTATTCTTAAATTTTGTTCAAGTCCCCCCTGCTAAGCACATTATTTTGGTGACTTCAATTATCTATTACTACCTGTGGTTCTCAAACTTTTTAGGTACGTCAGAGTCACCCTAAGGCTTGTTAAAACACAGATAACTGCATTTCATACTCAGAGTTTCAGATTCAGTAGGTATGGAATGTGACCAGAAATTTTAATTTTTTTTAAACATATATTTTTAAAAGATTTATTTATTTATGCATACAAGAGCTGGGGTACAGGCCAGAGGTGTGTGTGTGGGGGGCGGGGGCGGTGAGAGGATTCACCAGAAACAGAGTGGGGAACAGAACAGGCAGATTGACTGAAATCCATTGCTGAGGGGAGCAGCGGGTGAGTCAGGTGAGGTCTGCTGGGCCATGTGGGTTGCTCCCTGGAAGGCTGGGGAATCGAACTTGCGCTGCAGAGGCTGCAGACAGCTTCATAGGTTGAGTCTTAACTCCTTGTGCCACCAGGGAGGCCCCAGAAATTTTAATTTTTGATAAGTTCTTGCTGCTGATCCAGGGATCACACTTTGAGAGCCACTGCCCAGGAGCAGTGCTTCCAAAAATAACAGGCCCATGAATTCTTTGGGAACGTTTTGGAAAAGAATCCCAGTGTTTTCCCATACCTGTGAGTAAGTACAGGTTGAAAATTGATAAGATGGAACAGTATATGACAGAAAAGTTATAAAATTTGAACTTTTAAATTTCAAAAATAAAATTAATTTGACTAAGTTTGTCAGAGAACAGATTGACCTTTTGTCAGTTTATTAAATACAGGTATCTCCAAACCTTTCTGAATTTCTATTGAAGAGCTTGTGGTCTCATTTTCATTCTGATTTTTCTCCCTGAATGCAAACTCTGTATCCATAATTATTCCTATGTTTTATGCTAGTTGCTTCTTTTGATGTTGAGAACAAATTGGAAAATGAGGGAGAATGAAGCGATTTAGATAGGACTGGTGATTGCACATTGACTGGAATATACTTGAAGGGACTGGTGGAAAATGAGGGACAGGTTCTAATGATAAACTGCAATGGACATCAGTAGGGACTGCAGTTTGTATCTGTAGGGTCCTTTGAAATCTTGGTAGTTCACCTCAGTTTAAGAAGGACTGTTAGAGAAGTAAAAATCAAAATCAACAGGCAACTATAAACCAGAGACATTGTATAGGGGAGGAGGAGGGAGTTGTATCAAAACAGGGGTGGGAAGAGCACAAGTGACTATGATGATGGTACACAGGTGAATTGGTGGTGGGAATCTCACGACTGTACCGGAGATCATAAAGCATACATTGTATAAAAATGAAGAATGCTATAAAAAATTTTTAGAAAAAGCACTATTAGAGAAATATGGAAAGTACTATACAGGGTGAGACCTCCAGCCCAATCTGATCATGGTAGTAACATTCTAGATGAGGTGTTGTGTGGACACTAGTAAGTGTTACAATTGTTAGCTTTCTTTTGTTGCCTTGCATTAAGTCTCCCTGTATCGGTTTCCTTCATAGGTTAAAATGATGTTTGCTGCTGGAAATGGTCTTCAGGCTGGTATATTGGCTGAGCAGTTGTGGACAGCAGTCCTTGGCACAATGAGGACATATGATCATTTCCTTTAAGATGAGGCTGAACTTAATAGTTGCAGAAATTTACCTGTTTTAATGCCTCTTCTTGCTGTATCTTATAGCATTTGTAAACGTGTATCTAGTTGTTTTATGATTCCTTATTTAAGAAGTAATATTTTGCCTCCTTAGGTGGGTACTTAGTTATTAAAATGAAAGATGTTGTTTTGAAGTTGATTTTGTTTCCTTTCCCACAGAAGAACATAGCTGTTGAAAATGACAAAAGAATAAACAAAGACAATCTTACTGACCTTTATGTCCAGCATGCAATACCATTGCCTCAGAGAGATCTGCCAAAGAATAGATGGGGGAAAATGATGGAAAAGAAAAGAGAACAACATGAGATAAAAAATGAAACTAAAAGGTACTTTTTAGTGGTTCTGTTTTCATTTGACATAACAATTTAGCTTTTGCTTTATTACCTCAGGTAAACTTAGGTTAAAAAAATGACTTAAGCAGTTATCTATTGAGCACCAAGCTCTGTGCTTATAGCAGTGTATAAAATTGACAGAATTTCTTGTCCTGATTTTAATTGTGTGAAACATAATTACAAAGTTAAGTAGAAACTGTGGTATTTACATATTGAGAAAGGCTAAAGATAAAAGTAAAATAGGGAGAGGAATTACAATTTAGGTATAATGGCCAGGAAAAACATCACTGGAAAATAACATTTCAGTAGAGAGAATTTTATGAAGTAGAGAGCAAGCTAGCATTCCAGGCAGGATGCAAGAGCCTGGGTCAGGAATATACCCATCACATTACCAAGAACAGCAAAGAGAATCAAGAGAGCAGGGGGAAGAAGTTTGTTGGGGGCGGGGGGGGGGGCGGTGATTGGGAGGAGACTTTTAGATCATGTAAAGCTTTGTAGGCTTTTGTAAGACCTGACTTTGCTCTGAGATTAAAATCGTTGGAGGATATTGAGTAGAGTGATGACAACCTTTGATGTGCATGTTAACAGGAGCACTCTGCTTGCTGTACTGAAAAATGATTTATGATGGGGGCTGGGAGAAGGTGGAAACTGCCTGTGCTATAATCCAGCACCCTGGTGGTGGCTTTAACTGAGGTAGTGGACTTGGTAAGAAGTGATTGGGGTCTAGATATATTTTTGTAGATATTTTTGTTTGCTCTTGTAGATCAAACAAGATTTGCTGAAATAATTTGTGAGAGAAAAGTAGACTCAAGTAAGATTTTAAGGTCCTTGAATGATACAGAAATGAAGAGACTGTCATATAGCTTCAGGCACACTATTTAAACAGTGTGAAATTTCATAAAAATTTTCATCAAACCATGAATAAATGAATTTTAGTTTTTAAAGAAAGTTGCATCTGGGTGGTCAGTGTAGTTGGCTAGTTAATGAAGACTGTGTGTCCTAAGAGCTCTACATAGGCTAGTTATTTCTTCTCCTGTGTCTATTTTATTGCCAATTGATTAATTGCTCATTTTTTTTTTTAGAAATTTTTGTGTGTAAGATTCTTGCAGATAATGTACTGTGTACAGTGGGAAAAGATGGAGTGAGATTTCAGGGTAAGGGGAAAACATGTAGGTCTGAGTTCATTAGTATTTTTAATTTCTAGTTATGAAGAGAACTTGATTAATGGGGAGATTATGAGAATATGAGAATAGTTGAAGAATACAACATGTACAGTCTTTCTTATATCAGGAACACCTTCAGTTTAGTTTGAGCATCATTTTAGCTGGATTGTTGCATACCGGTAAAGGCTGTATATGAAGGTTAACTCATAAATCTTTGGATTCTGCCATAGATATCTTTAGTTTATTTTAGTTTTTGCTTATCAAGGCACTGCTTGGTTCTGCACGTTCAGACACATCTTAAAACTTTCAAAACAGCTATACCTTCCTTTAAAAAAAACTTTATCCTTTTTAAATAATAATTGATACATGGTTAAAATAACCCTATCAATAAGTTGGTGATTTCCAGTAGTTCTGCTGAGAGTAGATTAGCCTTATCAAGAAATCATTTTTGGTCATTGTTTATTTTAACTTGGAGTTCCACTTGAACTGTTTGACCATTCCTGATGGTATTTTTCATAACTACATTTCTTTGATTTTAGGAGTAACACTGTAGATGGGTTAAGGAAAAGACCCCTCATTGTGTTTGATGGAAGTTCAACAAGTACAAGTATAAAAGTGAAAAGGACAGAGAATGGCGATAATGATCGACTCAAGCCTCCCCCTCAGGCAAGCTTTACCAGTAATGCATTTAGAAAATTATCAAATTCCTCTTCAAGTGTATCACCCCTACTTCTGTCTTCCAATTTGCCTACGAACAATAAAATGGAACACAGTAATAATGATACTAAACAGAACCATGACTTAATGCATAGGAAAAGTCCTTCAGGCCCTGTGAAGTCACCACCTTTGTCCCCTGTTGGAACTACTCCAGTGAAGTTAAAGCGAGCCGCTCCTAAAGAAGAAGTGGAGGCTGTGGTGAGTCTGGGTGTTTCCCCACTCGGGAGAGATGTGAGTGACATCTGAGTGATTGGCTTTACCTGAAATGGGTCATTTGTGTTACTAGCTGTTCTGGAAATGTGTAAAGGTCTGTCTTATTTTTACATTTAATATCATGAAATCTTAAACTCTGAAATTTTAAAATCCGTGATGATAAGTTAATGTGTTTTAAAGCACATTCAATTTATTTGTGCTTAAAATATGTAGAGTCTCTCAGGTGCTTTTCCTGGATTTTTCTCATTTAGATCTTTTACTCAAGAAGCAGACATTTTTTTCTTAAGAGTTTTGGAGGCTGAGAAGTTCAAAATCAAGACACTGGCAAGTTCAGTGTCAGAGAGAATCCACTTTTAGTTCATAATTGACTCCTCTTACATTTGACAGAAGGGGCAGGGCTCCCTTTGAGGTCTCTTATAAGGACACTAATTCCATCCGTGAGGTCTTTACCCTCATGACTTAATCACCTCTCAAAGGCCCCATTTCCAAATATTACATTGGGGATTAAATTTCAATATATGAATATTGAGGGGACACAAACATTCAGAATAAAGCATTAATGTAGTATACTTTATTGTCATTTTCAAATTGTGTATTAAAGGGAACAAAAGAGAACAGACAGTCCAACTAGTAGACCCTGGAAATAGAAAACTACTGTCTGACCGGCTCAAGGTTCTTGTATTAGCTCATTGAATCCTTTCAACAGCCCTGTAAAGTAGGTACAGTAGTTATTTCCATTTTACAGGTGAGGAAATAAAAACTTAGAGATTTAAATTATACTTTGTTCAGGGTTCCAGAGTTAATAGATGTCCAGGATTTCGTTTGAATTCAAATCTATTAGATCCCTGAATACACACTTCCTATAATCCCTCACTGCCTTCATACTTGTCAGTCACCTCTATGGGAGAGTGGGTATTGGCTAAGCATGGGAAGAATAATCCACATCTCAAATACTGCAATAAAGAGGTAAGCCTTAGTGTTGGTTTTGGTTTTTTTTCCTTCCATTATTTTAAACAGCATTTCTCTTATCCAAGGGCATCTTATTCTTTCACAGATGTGATTTTTTTTTTTAATCTTTTCTCAGTAAGATCTTGGATTGTAAGGTTCAGGAAGTATAGTGGACAAGGAGGGAGGAAGCAGGTCTGGAGCAGTTTTCAACTCTGAAGTTACCTTAGAATCATCTGGAAGAACTTCCAAAAAACCCAGACAGAAAACAGAGTTCCAGCCGTGTCATCGTCCCATCAGTTATGACGTCATTGGTTCAGGGATAAGATCCTGGCATGGACATGTATATAAGTTGTCTGAGTGATTTTACAGTGTAACATTTGAGAACCACAGCCAGAAAAATGGGAGCCGAGGGAAGTTTGCTTGTTCCCCTAATCTCCTAAAATCTTTTTTCCACCAGGTGGCAGGAGTAATCTGCTATTCACATATTAGTAGTCAACCTGGGTGGTTTAAATTATTGATTTCTGTTATTGCTGATGTTTCTGCAAGTATAAACTATTTCTGTTTATGTCTTTCCAGAATAACCTGAAGCCCCCAGAAGTGAAGAGGAAGATACAACATGTTACATGGCCGTGAAGGAGAGTTTCCCAAAATGTAAATATAACCATAACTGTAGTTTTTCAAACAAATTCACATATATTGACAGTATTTACAGATCCTAATTATTACGGAATTTTCTCAAGAGGTTTAAAATTAGGTTTAAAAAATAAAGGTTTTTTCCTTTCCTTTCCTTCCCCTTTCTTTCCTTCTCTTTCTAGAAGAAAACTTGCCTTGTTCATCCTGACTAGGAAAGAATTTCTTTTTAAACAAATGACTGGGTATAAGTCATTTATATTGGCTCTAGTCAAATCATCAGCTGCAAGTCTGCTATAAAGCATTTGGTGCATTTTAGAAATTATTCTCATTAGTCTGTTTTAGTCTTTGGGGAAATTTGAGATTTTCTTTTTAACTTGGATATTTTAGTAGTTCGTAATTTTTATTTATTTTCCAAAGCGAAAGAATATAACAGTTCATCACAATATTTTAGTATTAGCCAAACTCATCTTCAAGGTTCACCAAGAAAAGCATATTTGTAGTGCTGGCAAAAAAAAAAAAAAAAATACTCAGAATATACAGCTAAAATAGCTGTTCTCTAAAGTGCTTACATAGCTTCTTCCCATAAAAACCAAAAGGGAATCAGTGCTTGCTATCACGTCTCCCCTTGAGTCATAACATGACATGATGTATTATGAGTGGAGCAGTCAATCATGTACCTAGTCCATCCTGTAGAATGTTCTTGTCATGCCAGCAGTCCTACCTGCTGTTTCCAGAGCAGTCTGGTCTCTGTGAGTTCGTGTATCACTTCTTCCTGGGAGCTTAATATTTTCAGAATGAAGATGACTTTAAACTCTTCAGGTAAGATAATCATGTCAGAGATGCTACTCGATGGCAGAAGGTTTGGAGGAATGGAAGAGGGCAGATAGAATTCTAGAACTTTACAAAGACCGGGAAGTATAGCACTGAATGGGGAAACTCAGTGTCACCTGGAGTAGGCGGCAGAGGAGATACTGATGTCAGAAATGACTACAGAGCGTATAGCACAGAGAAAGTAGACCAGCTGGAAGGGGCTCCTTGCTGGTGTGACATGGACCATCTCCCACAGGGCTGTCACACAAACAAGTATCTAATGAGGTTTTGTGTTTATTCTTATTAAAGTGTTATCATTTCAATTGTGTAGTGGAAGTTAGTGGGAAAATAGAATATACCTTATATTCATGAATCCTAGTGTGCTCTTTTCTGTTAGCTATTTCTAACCAAGTACAAAGAATACTTTATACTTTTTTCCCTTGTGTGATTTTCAAATTGGGGTTTGCCTTTTCAGTAGCTTTTAGAGGAGTCTAATTCCTCTTTTGATTGTTAAAGCAAGCATTTTAGTTCAGCTATTGACTAGCCTTATAAAAAATTAATTCAGCCCTGCAGGTAAGTACTGTACTAAAACTTTAACCCTACAGTTTTTAGTCATTCTACCTTTTTCCAAATTATAAATCTGTACATATAAGACAAAACTGATGCATACTAAATGTTGCATAAATTGTTAATGTTATAGTAAATTGGCAATTATATAGTTACCTGCCGGGCTGATACATGTAATATTGTTGAAGGATAACTGTGATCCTATACATAACTATTTGTTAAGGGATATTTTTAAAGTGCAGATTTTAGGGTAGAATGACAAATTATATTTTATATTCAGTTGTCCCCTCTGCTTCCATCTGTATTTCTCTCTTAGTTAAGAGAGAGCTAGCCATTTGACAATTTTAAGTCAGTGGAAACTTATTTTTAGTTATTCAATAAAATTAATTTTTAATTTGTATATTTAACTTACAGAGTAGGTTGCTAACAGCTGAACTGTGTAACATTGTTGCTTCAAATTGAAGTTTAAATTATGAACATTCAAAATCAGTGCTCATATAGCAGCATCTTACTGAGCTATTTTGAGTTAGAAATGTGGAGAAGCACTAAAGCATGTACTATGTATTACATAATACTAACATCTTAAGAGGGCTGTGCCTTCTCAAGGTATATAGATACAGCTCTTCTTGAAAAGACTTTCTTTACATAAGTCTGCTGAATGATGGAAGTCTGAGGCACAGGGATCTTATGTTTTGAAGTGTTGCTTTGATGTGCTTTAACAGTTAGAAGGTCTTGATTTGAACAACAGAAAACTTTGGGATACTCTTTACTCATTAACATGAGTGAATTTTGTGGCTCTTGATTCTGTATTCCAGTAAAGCAGCTTTTCTTATTGGGGTAAGCAAATGAGTGGCATTTGAGTCAGTGAGTGGCTTCTGAGGTATGGTTAGCGGGTGCTTTACCACTTCCTGCCATTGGCAGTGTACCTTGTTCTTTTCTTCCTCTCTGTTTTCTGTTTTCTTACCCTCCTTTTTCATATTTTTACTTTATTTGCTTTTCCATTCTCCTTCCTCCTTTCTGTCGATCCTAAGTTTCATGCTTAGGTTTGCGAGTTACATTGCTTGCCCCCATTCATCATCCACTGAGGGGTGAAGATGGGCTAACCCCCAAGCCTCACATTTGAGGATCATAGATTACCATGTGAATTCTGGAAAGTTGTAAGACCCCACAGTACCATGGTACTACATTGCTTCCCAGTGGTTGTAAAGGCAGTACAGTTTACCAAAGTAGCTGTATTTATGTAGACAACTTCCAGGCACTTTGGAAAGTTGGTTCAACTATGATGAGGCCGTAATATTTTTGCTACTATTAAAATTCTTCAGAATTGTAATTATTATTTGAAATAATATTTTGGTTGACTTAAGTTTTAAGAGACGATTCTAAAATGATCTATAGACTCATTCAGTAGCAATGACCTTTTAAAAACTTACATTAAGTAAAACTGCCAGTAGATTAAATCACATGTATATAATTGTTTCCTCTATTTACTACTGTGGAACTTCAGTAATTTTTAGAGGCTACAAAATAGATTGTTTCTAAGTGTGCTCTTTTATTAAATGCTTGTGCAGGTTTTGTAATACAGTACAGAAAAGTTTAACCTTGTAATGTACATTTTTGTATGTAAAAGTCTTTTAAGTAGCCTTATCCTTATTTAATTAAACTGAATAAAAGTATTGAGTTGGTCTGTCATTTATAAAAAAATAAAATGGAAAAATAACTAATGGCTTGTTCTCTTTTTATTTGAGTAAACTATGTCAAAAGTATTATTGTTCATGGTGCAATTTTTTGAACCTGGATTGATTGGTATCAGACATGAACTCAACAGACCAGCCACATTTGGGGGCCCCAGCTGTGAAAGAGGAGGGGGCCAGTGGCTTGGTGTATGGGATGTCCTGATCCCACAGAGACTAACATGTTGACTTACTACACTGGAGGATGGCAACAGAACCGCAAATCTATCCCATGTAAGTTTTCTTAACAATCTCAGACAATCCGAAAGTTTGGTTGAAAGGATTATTTGCATCTGGGTAACCTTAAAAATTGTTCATTTCTAAACTGCTATCTTAGTGTTGGAGACTAACTGTAGCACTAAATTAACAAATGAGAAAAACACATGAGTAACTTTCTACTTTGAACTTAAGAAGTAGATCCTTCAGTTTTTATCTGCAGAGGAGAGACAATAACACTCTTATTTCCATTTGGATTATTTCACTAAGTGCTTCTTACTAACTGAAGTGCTCTTCTCTGTCAGTTACTGTTAAATTTGGTACCCTATTGTGGTAGAAAAAGTAAAGATGTGAATCAAATTCCTGTTTCTATAGAAAAGACAAACAAATGGACAATGAAATAATGGGAATCATGACAGAAAATCAAGCCGTGACGTGAGATAGTGAAGGATGGAAAAGGTAATGGTCAGTGCTATTTTAAACATATTAGGAAAACCCTCTTTGAGGAGATTATATTTTAAGGAGAATTATGGAAAGCTTTTGGGAAAAGCGTCCTACTTGTAGTTGTTAAATGGTGACATATCTTTATTGTTCCCATCAGTGGTGAAGTCTTTCCCAACTCTCAAATATAGATTGGTCTTGTACCTTGTTTCTATGTTCTACTCTCACTCATGGACCCCTGCAGAAGCCAAATAAAAAGCTTATAGAAAAATAAGTCTCACCTGAAAGCCAGCACGACCCATCAGAAGTCACCCATCCCCAGACTAGCTGTCCAGTAGCTGTATGCATGTCCCAGGTGAGACCAGTCACACAGCTGACTCAGAATCATGAGTGATTTTCATTGTTTTAGCTTTGACCATTGAAAACTGTTGGCTCCTGTGTCCCTTTGATCTACCTCACAGTTGTGATTTCTTTTGAACACTTAAGTACTACAAGATGCCCTGGGGCCATTTGTCTATTTCCTGGCCTTGTTCTAGACTCAATCTTATCCCAAGGAATCTTAGTTACTTTTATTGAATGATATTAGAAGTATCATTGATATTAGATATTAATATAGATGATATTAATGATATCAATGATATCAATATCAATGATATTAATATCAATGATATCAAATGATATTAGAAAGATCTAGGCACTAGGTATGCTCATACTACTTGGGTATCATTGCTTCCAGTCCTTTGCAACCAACAGAACAAGGACATATACATATGTGTACTAACCCCTGAATATACGCATAACTAAATATTTCTAAAAATATTTGTATTTATAGTAAGATGAACATGGGTTCATTACCTCTTAATCAATTACCATGTAGAACATTCTAGACTTCCCTTTCTTGTTTATAACTCCCACCTCAACAGTGAGAAACCTGGCTCCCACCAGGTTTCCTTAATTGTTCAATTCTGGTATACATCCACAGCAGTTGCAGAATTATTTATTTTTTTTTAAAGATTTATTTATACAAGCACTGGGGTACAAGCCAGAGGTGCGGGAGGGTGAGAACATTCACCAGAGACAGAGCAGGGAGCAAAACAGGCAGGACCGAAATACACTGCTGAGGGGAGCAGCGGGTGAGACAGGAGAGGTCTGTCTCTCCATGTGGGATTCTCCCTGGCCAGCTGGGAATAGAACCCGTGCCGCGGAGGCTGCGGAAGCTTCACAGCGCTGCGCTCAACCCGCTGTGCCACTGGGGAGGCCCTGATTCTCATTTCTTAATAAAAAACAAAGCACCCTGAACAATTCATTCTTTCAACAGGTTAGTTTACTATGTTTTCATGCTCTAGGGAGTTGCAATAGTTACTTGGGTGGTCAGTTTTATTCTCATTTCCTTTTAGTTTTTTCATTTATGTACATTTTTGCATGTGCACTGCCTGGATGGTTTCTTCTCTGTGTTGCAATAAAACTGTGTTTAGAGATGTCATTTGCCCCATCATTATCTCTATGTGTAAGAAAATTTATTTCATATACAATGCCCTCGAATGCATTATTAGATGGTTGAAATTATGGATTTTTCTAGCTTTTTTCTGGTGGAGGTCATTCAGACTGAAACACAATCTAACCCAGCACTCTTATTTTATGAAGAGGAAATGTACCCAGAGAGAGGAGGCATCTTCTCTGGAAGCATTCAGTTAGTTGGGGCAGAGTGGTGAGTAAAACCTAGGTCTCTTGCTCTTTTCCATTAAACCAGAGACGGTGTCCTTTCTGGAACCCTCGCCCCCAACCTCTCAGGTAGTAAAGCATATTATGTTTCCAACTTGTCCTTTAGAAGGGCAGTCAACTTTGCTAATGAAGAGAAAAGAGAGGTAAGTATTATTAAAATGTACAGCAGCTGGTTTTACATTGTCAGAAAATTTCCCTCAAGAACGCTAATGGGCTGGAATTCACTGGGATCGGGAGTCTGATTTCCAATGTGTTGGCCTCTGTAGTCGTGAGTAAGCTTCCAGCTTTCTGGGCTTCCATTTCCTCCTCTGGCCAGCAGGTGAGTTTCATTCGGATCCTTTGGTTGCAGATTTTCTTTGTATTTTTACCTTAGGCTTATCTTGCCTGAGTCCCCTCATCTCTTATTTAATGACCAGGCAAATGAGGAGTGTCCTCAAGTCTGAATGAGCACCACTAGAGGTGATTGAGAATTGAATTTACATATTGTAAATTTCAAAAGTACAATAATATGATTGTTAGGTGACAGTACCACTTTTATTCTGCTTTATTGTGGCTAATTTTTTATCTCAAGGAAATTTGGCTTTATTTGCTGATTTTTGACTTAATGGCAGCCCCCTGCTTATAAATTGGACTGGCCATTTGTGGGGAGTCGGTGAGGTGTGCGCCATGTGCCCTAGGCTTCATATTTGTTGATGACAAGTATTTGCTCTGCTAGCCTCTGAACTTTTGCTTCCCAATAGCACTGAGTTCTTTTTGCATTAAAATACAAAATTAAAAAAAAATTTTTCCAGAGATTAAGTAAGCTTTCATGAGGACAACATGGAGACAGTAGTTATCAGTCCAGTTCTTGGACTCACATCACACAGACACATTTACTGAGCTACTTGCTATGTTTGCGATCCTTGCAGGGTGATTCTGCATAAGGGAAATGGCTTTCAGTTACTTTAGTGACTGGATTTTCATGGTTTGGGTTGAAAATAGGCTAATTTATTTAGAATTTTATAATATTTCAAGCATTAAATATTGCTGCAGTTTACATAATTTATTCCAATAAATTAAGTATATAGTTTTTTTTCTACAAGGGAGTTTTGTACTAAAAGCAAAATTTAGGACAACAAAATAGATAAAATGAATCCAAGTCTTTATATTGCAGGCTGTCACAGGAGGAAGTAACATTATTTATAGTTAGGTTTTCTCTTTCTCATGTTGAACATTAGGGAAAAAGCTTGCTCTGATTTCTTACATATAAAGAAGAGTTCTTCTGGAGAAAATAGCTTCTAAAGAACCATAAAATCATTGAAGAACTAAATATGAAGGCAAAAATCAGAAAGCATGGAACCCAGAGAAGCAGGCCAGTTTGCCTGATGCTTTATTGAAACTGAGCTGTGGTTCAGGTGGCTGATGTAATAGAGTGTTGGGTTGCAACCTGGGGAACTTCTCAGCTAGCCCCCAGCATGGAGGACAGGAAGAGATCACTCTAGATTGGTAGGTGACAGTTTTTGTTTTTTTTTTAAAAATTTTATTATTTTTTAAAGATTTATTTTAATTTATTTATGCATACAAGAACTGGAGTGTAGGCCAGGGGTGTGGGGGATGAGAGGATTCACCAGAGACAGAGTGGGGAGCAGAACAGGCAGATCTACTGAAATACACTGATGAGGGGAGCAGCAGGCAGGACAGGAGAGGTCTGCTGTGCTCTGTGGCTGGGGATCGAACTCAGGCCACTCAGGCTGCAGTGGCTGGTGATAGCTTGATAGTGCTGAGACTTAACCCCTGCGCCACCAGGGAAGTCTGGTAGGCAACAGTTTTAATAAACAAAAGAACTTATGAGGCTTGTCTTGGGTGGCAGCAAGATAAGTAGTTTTCCATACCCACCCACCAAATCTTAAACGTTATAGTAAGTCTAAATAAGAGGCTTTAGCTAGATTCACTCATGTACACCATCCAGATAGTCTCAACACCACATTACTATCTCAGGGCTATATCCTTGGGGCAGTTTCTGGGAGCAAGGAAGGTAAACTACACACATTCCAGGGCAGTTTGGTGAGGACCCTCCAATTGCCTGGGTCCAACCTGTGGTGGTCACGCCTTCTTGATGACCTCCCTCAACAAAGAGGTCAAAGCCCTGTGCCTCTGAAGATAGAAAACCCACATGGTAAAGATGAATTGGAAGGTAACCTGTGCTGTTGAGGGAGGGAGGAAAGAAAAAAAAAAACAGGAAAATAGGAAGGAAGTATAGGGAAGGTAAAGGAAAAGGGATGCCGTGGGGCGGAGGCTGGAAGCAAGCAGGCAGGCTGCCAGATTTGTAGCCAAAATTTACATTCCTAGCATGGTGAAAGAGATACAAGAAGTGACTTGGGAGGAACTGTGGTCTGGGGTACACCAGTCACCTGGCAGAGACTACAAAATCATCTCTGCAGGAAGACATGCTTATTCAAGCCTCGGGAAACTCCCTCAGATATGTCTTTTCATTCATTTATCTTTTGGGTGAGAAAATATTTTTCATTCCTCTGGGTGCAGCCTGAGTCGTACCTTATGGTCTCAACTTTTAGAGGCAAGCTATTCATTCAGCAAGCCACACACCCACTTTCTTCCTTCCTCTACCCCTTTATCCTTTACCAAAATAGGACAAAGATGTCCTTAGCCCTCTTTCATAATCCCCCAAATCAGGGCATGATAGTCAACAAGAGTTGAGAGAGTCCTAGCAAAAATTGAGAAAGAGACTCACCAGAGCAAGTCTGATTGTTCCAAACTCTGAAAGCCCAAGGGGCTCACGCAAATGGTGCCTTCATCCTCTTTGGTGACACGTCCTCATCATTTCTCCTTGAGACTTTGAAGTTCCAACAGCATCTTGATCTTCACTTTTCAATTTTAAACTTTTACAATCCCCAAAGACTATGTGCCTATGCATAGGATGCTGACTAGAAAAATAAATTTTGGATGTGGTCATAATATCAGGTTGATTCTAAGTACAGCCAGGACTAAGCAGAACAGAAAAAGTTCAGAGATGAAAAGGGGGCTTAAATTAATATACGGTACAAAATCTCAATTCCTGAAGACCAGTGAGTTGACTGTAGATGCAGTGGTGAATTATTTCTAGCTCTCTGTGGGGAATTATTCTAAGGTCCCCCAGATAAAATACAGTAAACAGTGAGTTGAGGGCCCTCAGAAGTCTCAGGACCAAAGATTTCAAACATCTGGCCTTCTGTGCCTGCATGCTGCTCGCCCCATTCCCCCAAAAGAGCCAGAATCAGTTTCCTACCGACATGAGACCCCCTAAGATGTGTCATGTTGGTCTCTGGGGAAGCTGCCTCTTATGAATTAGTCTGTAAAAATGCTGGGGTTGGGATAGAATCACGCCTTGGCTCAAATACCACAGACTTTCACTGTCTGTTAATATTTGGTCACAGATTTTCCTGAACAAATATCTCAGTTTGCTGAATGCCTTTAGGGGAATTTTCAGACTTTTTGTTATTCAATCTATCTCTATTTCTCTTCTCTAATTTCCCTCAGTTAAGTGGTGGTTTCACTGGGAAGGTGGACAACTGAGTTCTGCACACCACCGTTCCAGCCAGTTCTCTGAACCTTGACTGGGCTGCAGGAATCTTTTATATGCAGTTGTAGTTCAGTTGTCAACCCGAGACTTACAGGGGTTTCATACAAAGAACTTGGGATTCTTTTTTCCAGGTTTTTCTTCTTACTTTAAAGGCTGTTTGTTCAAATCCCTGGCCTTTGGTTCTTCAAATCAGTAAGACTGTAGGTTTTCTAACAGGTTTAGCTGCCCTACTGGGATTTGCTTTTGGATAAAATCCATAAAAATGGGATATCCCCCCAATGCTATTCTTTTCCTGTAAGCATCTCTTCTTCCATAGCCTTCCTGCCTTTGGTCATCCTCCAGTGCTTTTAAAATTAAAAATATATATATTTTGTCAAAAACGGTTGCTAATGTGAGGATTAGTCCAATAGGAGCTACTTTCTAGGGGGAAATCCCCCAATCCTTAAGGTTGAATTCTAGTGTGGAATACGACTAACCTATCTGTAGTTTAAAGAAGAATGAGTTAGATGTTCCATGATGAAGTTAGGAATTCTTTTCCTTTCATATTGTAAAGCAGAAGATGGCAAAACAACTAAAAGGGGTAGAATTAATCTTTTTATTTATTTTTTGCTTTTCATATTTTTTTCTCTAAATATAGTTTCTTACATCATTGTTCATTTTTGTACAGTAACTGGTTTCTCCCCTCAGGTGTAGTCCCTGTAGTTCTCCACCACCGTATCACCTGTGACCATCATCATATTCCCCGTGCTCTTCCCTTCCACTTTGGCTCCTTCCCCACTCCCTTGCTGCGTGCCTTGGAATTAGACTTTTTAAACACAGCCGCAAGCCAACTATAAATCCAGAAGGCCTGTGTCAGATTTTATCATATTGACTATGATTCAGATTAAGAATCTGACTGCATCTACTCAGCATAGATAGGACTTGATTCCCACCAGATTTTTCTGTTGCACAGCCTGTGATTTGATCATGTTGCATGGTTTTAGAAAACTAAGGGCCAAAAGTCACTATTGTTGTCCTAAAATGAGAAATGTGCAACGTCAGATCTTATAAACTGGTGCTGTGCTTTCCAATTGCATACTGTGCCAAAATGATTTTGCTGACAACTGCCAAGCTAGGAGCTCTGAGTGTTATTTTATAGCAGTGATTCTCTCCATCTCTTTTTCTTGACTGTTTTCTTATCTTTTCAGAAACACTGAAGGTTTCCTACATGCCCTACATTGCTCGGATATTGAGACATGAACGTATGTTGTCTGTCCTTCAGGTGCTCTTCTCTTTTTGCAATCTTTCACATAATGTTAAAGAAGGCAGGTCATCGTAAGACATGGGTCTGTGACAGTGGGGAATGCCAGAGCTCAGCCATGAATAGTGACTCTACACCATCTTCATGTTCAATTAGCTCCTGTTCTCCTACTCACTTCCTGGAGCTTATGTTATGGCATCAAGAGCAGAACACTATATTCCAAGAGAAAGAGAACTTGGGAGGGGGAGCAAAGAGAAGATACAAAGGGAGACGTGGTGGTGTTGACTGAAAGATTTCTTTTAAATGAAAGGTGTGAAGCAATTTCATTGAAACTGACCTGACCTATCAGAACTTGCTCTTCACACAGGTATGAGGCAGACATGCAATAAAGTGTTGTTTGTACTTAGGACGTCAAAGTTTAACCATTATTTATTTTACACACTGTGCCTGGCAAAGGATTTTTTTTCTGGATAACTTTATTGTAAATCACATAATCTTGCTTTAGACCTTACATGATAGAAAGTTATACAGCTATAACTTGCTCATTACCTTAAGTAGTTAGGAATACTTTCAAGTTTGTGACATTCATTGCACTTAAAAATTAAATACACAGTGAAAGAAAGATACATTTATAAAGACATCATTCAAAAGGATTTTACACTTGGATTTGCCTTGCTTGATTACAAAAATTCAAAACAATTTTCCCACCTAGGTTTTATCTAAGTGTCTTCTTCTTCCTTGGGGTAGAACTATTTATTACAAAGAAATGGTTTGTACAAAGAAATGAAAGGATTTAAACAAATGTGACTATCACTGAGAAGCACATGGGGAAAGTCTCAAAATGGCTGGTGGAACCAGGATATACTACTGCCTGGTGGAAAAAGAAAATATATGAATGAGTGAGCATCGCGAGGCCAGACGGTGCTGAATTCAGATGTCCTTTCCACAGTCGGGGCAAAGGATGTCATCACTCTCTGTGAGGAAGCCGCGCCCCACCAGGGACAGCGAGCACTTCTTGCAGTTAAAGCAATCGTTATGCCACTGCCGTTCCTCAAAGGAAATGTACTTTGTGCCACCAAGTCCTGTTAACGGAGAAAAAGAATATTGGATGAAGAAAGAAAGGGAATATTGCTCAGTTAGAACTGGGCTACTGGGACTGAGTCCTGGCTTGATCCGTTTCAAAGCTTGGATTGCGTAATGTGGACAGTGCGTATTTTGTAAGTGGGTGTTGGTATACACTATTTACACAGGCATAAGTCATACACCAAACAATCTTGAACTCATAACTATCAAGAAACATATAAGCCGGCTCTTGAGCTATATGATAAATACTATAATTATGACTACCTTCTTGTTTGTATTTGTTTTCTTAAGTGTTTTTCCTACCGGCATGAAACTCCATGAGAGAGGGAGTTGGTTTCTTTTACTCCTTCACTGGGTTCCTCATGTCTACTGCTCAAATATTTCCTGATTTGATGAATGAAAGGCTAAAGGGAGTGCAGAAGAAGGAAATGTTACTTTTCTCTGGGACACCCACTGCAGACTTCACAAGAGGTGATAATGTGGGTGAGTGGGAGGATGGATACTCTTGCAAATGGAGCATCGTGAAACAAGCTATGGAAGCAGGAGCTTAGGGGACAGAGTTGGACAAGTTAGAAGTTTAGTGAGGGTGGTGGATGATGCTGCCACTGAAATAGCTGGGAGAAAATGATGAAGATGCCAGTGGAGAAAGCCTTTTTATATTTTAAACAGGAAAAATAGTAATTCATTTTAATTGAATTGCTTGACTCTTGTTTGATGCTAATTCTTATCAAATGTTCAAGGTGCATTGGTCACCTATTACAATATATTTGGTTTATACTGCCACTGAGCTCCTGAAATAGAACAGAATCAAATATATAGGCTTATCTTAGAGTTGGAATGGATTTTGGTCAAATTTGGACCATGAATCCAACTTACAAAGGGTTCTTTCCTTAAATAGTGGTTCAAACTACTATATTGAAAAGTAAATAATCATTTACAATAATATGAGGTCTCAGACTTGCATGAGTAGTCTGGAATTCACTAATAAGTCAATTTTTTATGTAAACTAAGTGACTAGACTGACACTGGGCATTAAATACTTTCATTTAGGGAGAGACCTTAACACTAGTTCCCTGCAGCTAGTTAGTACCAAGAAACATGACCCAGAAGGCAGAAATTTTTAAAGCCCCCTAGGTATTTCCAATATGCAGCCACGTTTGAAAACCTGTGGTTTAGGCAATAGTTAGCTGTAAACTTGATTTAGGGGCAGAGACTGCAGAGTGATCGGAAGACAGCTGTTTTTCTTCTCAAAACTCGGAGTTAGTAGAAAAGCAAGAAGGTGCTAGGATGGATGCCCCAGCATTTCTACCATGCTATGTTTCTCCTTCCTCTCACTTTTAGTAAGTCCTATGACCTTGCAGATCTGTGGTGAGGAGGAACATTGGTGGAGAGAGGCTGAGCAGTTAGTGATAGAAGTTCTGCTGGGCAGCTGTTCCAGGCTGAAATCCTGTTTGAGAAGCTCGGTGTTCCTTTGAGCAGCAAGTAGGGCAAGTGGTAGAAATGAGAGCCAAAGGCGGCCCACAGGGGATGAATCCTCCTAAGTGGAAGATGTATATATATAGTCGCTTCTCATTATCTGAGGGAGTTATGTTTTAAAAGATTCTGAATACAGTAAATTCTGAATCATTGCTCCTGAAAGAAACACAGGGGTTAGGTTCCTATGAGCTTCTGGTCACTACATTTTCATCAACAAATATACATAACTATTGTGTGTTTCTGCTTAAAGATACCTTATTTAACGCAGTAAGTATTGCTGACTCATTAACTGAACTTATGGCCAATCATCCCATAACTCATGCCTGGAGGAAGCTTATGTGTATTTCCTCCGTGAAGCACATCATTGCTTCCTGCACTTAGGAATGTAGATAGCACTTCACACTGTGCTTGGGGGTCATTCTGAACAGCAAAATTGCTGACAAAAGCATGAAAATGCAAAAAACAAGGCCTAAAAAATTTGTGAAAAGAACCATCGTTTACAATGTAAGAGTTGAGAAAAGGAGGCAGAACGTCTCCTTGTTCCATCTGGGCTGGGAATGTATGAGACAGATGACTAGTCTGTCACCTCTCTGCGGGTCAGCCAATGACCACAAAAGTACCATGAGTATTAATTTTGGAATTACAAATAAATGTTACTGAGTAGGCAAATGACAGTATGGACTCAATAATGGGGATGGATTGTATGTGTGAATTAAGAACCACCATACACAAAAAATTAGAAAATATCAAATTAAATTTATTTTAAAAATCATTTAAAGTTTGTTAAAGAGAAAAAATACTAAGTAGGGAGCTATTCCAATTTAATCTACACCAGCAACCATGCACAACTGGGAATCCAGGTAGTAATTCCAAAATTCCCCTGCAGGTTCCTGAACATTTGTCTCTGCATTCAGAGAATTAACTCTCCTATTTGGAGGGAAGTTTCCGTTTAGTTTTTCTAGTGTTGTATTTTTTTTTTTCCAGTGATGGAATGGTAGTAACTACCATTGACATGCATATCTCATACTTTATGTTTAAAAGTGCTTTTATGTAGATTGTCACTTTATAAAGTTTAATTTTATAAACATCGACTTTCCATGATAATTACTGTGCAACAGCATTAAAAATTAATATGCTGGGGCAAAAGATTGTATTTCCCTTCTCTAAATGATGCCAAGGGAAATGTATATAAATGACTGGAATGGCACATCTTGGCACAGGAAAGTTTAATTGCTGTGCTCCTTTAGCGTCTAGGTAGATCAACCTGCCCTTGCTCAAAGGCGGAACCTTCCCTCGCTGTGTGAAGGCACGGTGGGGGCGCACCGGAAGGGAGGGTCCCTGGGACACTCACCGCTGATGGGGTGGGTGCACCCAGCACACTTCTTGGCATACAAGTCGCAGAAGCAGCTCAGGCAGTAGGCAAACTCATCCCGGGACGTGAAGCGCTGCCCAGACAGCGGTTTCTTGCAGGCCGTGCACACGAAGCACTCCTTGTGCCAGGGCTGGTCCCGGTAAGTGACTCCCCCTGTGGTGATGGGCTGGGGGACGCAAGAGGAAGAGGGTCAGCTTCCTGAGGACATTCTCCATATACTTCCCAGTCTCAGCTAGTACCTCAGGACAATGCAAGAGCCTCATCCAGAAAAGACCCAGTTTGTGTTAAAAGTCACCGAGAGCCTGGCCTCATGCTGGCCTCTTGGTCCTCCCCGCAACATACTGCAGGCCCTGGCTTTCCTGCTTGAGGCAAGGATCCTGGGGAACGTAAAGCACAGGTGTTGGTGGTCAGGCTGCATCGCTTCCGCCTGCAGCCTGGAGGCAGTGCCAGGAGGTTAAAAGGGGAAACTAGCAGGGAGACCCGCATTTGAATCCTAACCCTGCTCGTTGCCAGTCTGTGCCTGTTGGCAGGTCTTCTGTAAGGACCTCTGTGCCTCATCTGGTGAGACTACACGAGAGAATCTTTGGGAAGTCCTCATGAGGAAATCTGGTAGGTGGTAGCCTCTCAAATATCACTTACAACTCAGTCTAATCATTTGCTGATGGTGGGAGAAAGAGCAAGTTTGGCAGTTGCTGATTCCCTAGTGAGGGGACGGGCATCCTGGGAGGTTTGGGGAAAATACGCCCAATGCCTGCCTCTCATTCTGTCTTGTGGTCATAGACGTTTGTGAGAAGAAGCTTCAAAGGCAGATGCAATAGAACTGGCCTTCAACCTCTCAATTTTATCTAGTTTCTTTTTTTTTTCCCAGAGTGTTGCCTTTTATATTCATTTTAGAAATGGATGAACAATGGAATTGACTAAGATATCAGAGGAGCCAGCATAACAGAAAAATGGTGACAGGGAAGAAGCAGTAACATCCCACCTTCACACATTTTATTCTGTAAACACTGCTGTGTCACCCAGGATCCCCCTTATCTTCACAGAGGCTGAAAAAGTCCTTACAGTAGGGCAGATACTGTTTCCATCTACAGATGTGTGAACAGACCTCCGCAGGTTAAGTGAATTCACAGCTCATGGCAAAGCAGGGGCTCTAGCACTCAGGACTTTATTCTTTTCATTGAGCCACAAACCAACAAAAAACTTCCTCTAAGCAGGAAGGAGCAGAATTTACGCAAAATATGTTGAGTTGCAAGGTATCTGTGTGCTACAGGAGGTGAGTGAATGTGGGATGTCTGCCTTTGAAAAGTTACAGAAAAGTTACAGACAGGCCAGTCATTAAGACTAAAGTTAACCAGGCTCAGGGAACAGCAGCCAGGCCTTCCCCTGCAGATGGAGACCAGCCAGGGCGCCAAAGAGCAGGCGGTGGAGTCGGGACAAAGTTCTACAGCTGCACTGCTCAGGGCAGCCCGATGGGTGAGCACAGGTGCTCAGGATGCCAAGGCTGCATCTGTCAGGGCAAACCCACATGCAGCAAAGGAGCTCTGCTCCGAAAGGGCACAGGTGTGGGGGCAACAGGGTGAGCAGCTGTGAGGCCGCTTCCTATAGGCCTTTTCTTTATTTCACTAACAGAAACAGCACATAATCAACTGGGTGAGTTTCCCCTTTACTTCTCACACCCCTTCCACCCCCCCAATCTTTCTCTCTCCCTCCTCTTCTTCCTTCTGTCCAGTTTAGCAGTGGATTTTGTTATTCAAGGAGACCAGTGTGACAAAGAGCTCTGGGACAGTAAGTTCCCCTTTCCTTTAACATCAAATTACAAACATGAGCAAACATTTGGAAAGTTCTAGGAAAAAGAAGGAATAAGGCGATTTCACCTAGATCACAGCTCATGTCTTTGAAAGCAAGACCTGGAACACAGGCCCAATGGATACAATCTACAGAAGAAAGAACTATGGGATGCGAGGTGAGGCAGGCATAGGTTTCATTCCACTCCATCTTATACGAGCAACCTCTTTTGGAAAGGCGAACTGACAGGGGCCACAACAGCAAACTGACTGGGAAGCGCAAAGCCTGGGAAGAACAAGATACCTTGTTGCACTGAACACATTGCAGAGCGTATTGTTTCTCGTAGCAGGGCACACAGAAATTCTGATTGTCTTTAGGGATGAAGCTCTTGGTTCCAATGGGCTGCTGGCACCGATGGCACATGAAGCAGGTCTCGTGCCAGCTGCTGCCCTTATACTCCATTTTGCGGGTACCTGTCATGCGAGTCAAGAAATAAAGCACAGGGCTGTTAACAAGGGCTGCCTTGGAGTCCCAGCAATCTGCACGGAGAAGATAAGGAACAGCCACACGTGGAGTACTATGTAGCCATAAGAAAGGACAAGATGTGGTCATTTTCAACACGATGGAGGGAGTTTGAGAGAATTACGTGTATGTAGTAACACAAGTCCAAAGGATACAAACAAATCCCAGACATTCATATAAAAGATAATCCAATAATGCAAAATACTTAGAAAAATCAGTGAATGTCAATAAACACCTTAAGGGTTCTGGGTTAAGAAGGAGAGAGAGGGCCTCCCCAGTGGTGCAGCAGGTTGAGCGCAGTGCTGTGAAGCTGTCCACAGCCTCTGCAAAGCGGGTTCAATTCCCGGCCGGATACCCACATGGAGCAGCAGACCTCTCCTGTCTCGTCCACTGCTCCCCTCAGCAGTGTTTTCGTTCTGTCTGCAAGTTCTGTTCCCCTCCCTGTCTCTGGTGAATCCTCTCACCCTCCCCAACTTCTGGCCTGTATCCCAGCTCTTGTATAAATAAGTAAATCTTAGAAAAAAGGAGAGAGAGGGAAAAGGGAATTTATAAGAGACGGTGGTAGGGAAAAATAACCAAAAGAAGGAAAGAAAAAGCAAAGGAATAAAAGTTTATTATTTACTTTCTTAGAGTTAATTGGATTCTGTTTTTAACTCAACATTAGGGAAAATGAAACAGCAATAAGGACTGCTTAGAGACTATGAATGCAGGATAAGATGACCTTTAAATTCCTATTCAATTTTTTGGTCTCTGATTCTAGATTTTATTTCCCCAAAAATGCTTTGAAAAAAAAATTATCTTCATTGGCTTTTCCTTTGATCGATGATTTAAAAAAAAAAAGTCCTAATGAATGGAAATAGTTTTGGTTCACTACTACTGGCCACCCCAAACCTTCCTCACACCCACTACCCTCAAACTTGATTCACAGCAAATACTCACTATTTGTTGATTTATGTTTTTCTCATACTTCACCAAAAAAGGGCATAGATTTATAGGATGAGAGGGTTTAAGAAAGATATATGAGCACCCTTTGGATGAAACAAGAAAAATTTGGGGGAAAGGTGCATAAAGGATGAAGAAATAGTAAAATGCCCCAGACACTGGGGCTGCTTGGGGCCAGCATGCTGCGTGTGGCTGGGACCACACTCCTGTGTCCTGCAGAAGTGACATGCGCATAGTCACACTGTCCACACACTCAAAGGATGTGTGTGGGTTGGGAGGCTGGTACGAGAGGGAATTCGGGGAGCTGGAGCGGCACAGTTATCCTCAAAACTATAGAATTTATTCGTAGGGTGAAGAATCCTGAAAAAGGAAAACTACCTCAAGCAACTGAATTTCAGGTGAAAACGGTGGAATGTTTTTCATGTCAATTTTTTCCCCCATGTACTCTTGATTCGTTACTTGCTTTTTTAATCTCTGAACTTCCCTTTGATAAAGAACCAATGGATTTTATCAGTGAAAAGAGGGAAATTATGATTCTCATTTAAGACTCTATGCAAGGACACAAAAGTGCATCTTGGTGTGTTCTAAAATAACAGAACTGTCCTGCCGCCCGCCAAGAATCCACCAGGCCATTTCCTGCCCTGCATCAGACACTTGTGTAAGTATTGTGCACTGCCAGCAGGTGGCAGCAAAACTCCTTGTAACAGATCTGCATTTTCCAACAATTCTCCAGCAGATGGAAGCACAGTTTAAAGGTGTGCCTTCTCTCTCTCTTTTTTCTTTTTTTCTTTTTTAAAAAAAGATTTATTTCCTTATGCATACAAGAATGGGGTACAGGCCAGAGATTCGGGCAGAGACAGAGCAGGGAACAGAACAGGCAGATTGACCAAAGCACATTGTTGAGGGGAGCAGCGGGTGAGTCAGGAGAGGTCTGCTGCGCCATGTAGGTAGCTCCCTGGTCGGGGATCAAGCTCATGCTGCAGCGGCTGCGGACAACTTCATAGGCTGTGTCTTAACCCCCATGCCACCAGGGAGGCCCCCCTTTTACTGATTCCATAAGCAAGCAAGGAACCAGAAACTTGGTGAAGGATTAATGGACAGTGTGAGTCGGCTCAAAGTCCGCAGTGCATCTGTGAGAAACTTCTGCCTGTTTGCAGAAGTTCCTTTGGTAAAGAACAGGTGAGCCTTAGGGCTATCTATGGTTTGTGCTGGTTCTAGTTTCTTGACTTCATCAAGAAATGGGCTTTCATCGAAGGTGGAGCCAGAGGACATGATTTTCATTTAGGACTTGTCTCTTGCCTAATACATATTGAATTTCAGTACAAAGCTGTGCTGATACTGTATTGCTATTCACCTTGATCTGGTTGTAGCACGTTCAGAAATCAAACCAAAGTAAGGAAGAACTACATGACTTAGGGCTGGCTTCCTTCTTCCTTTTTTGCAAACACCAGGCTTTTTCTTGATACCCTGCCTTTGGTGGCCATCCATTCCCTCTATTTCTTATTTCATCCAACAAAACACAGCTCATTCTCGAAGACTGCTCAAAGGTGACAATATTGAGGGTCCCCCTGCCCGCCTCCCCCGCCCAGGGCATGTGTCTGCCTAACAGCAGGTATCAGCCAGGTTTCTACAGCATTCCCACCTAAAAATTCTAAAGAGATGACAGTGGAATATTGTTCACTGATGCGCGTGTGTATGTGTGTGTGTGTGTGTGTGTGAAGCGGGGGTGGATAATGTTAGAAAATGCTCTGCCCTGGACCAACCAACTCTCTGTGTCCTCCATCCCTGCACCTGGCTCTGCCTTCTCCTGGGCTAGCCCGTGTGGCTCCCGTTGCTGTCCTCACTGGGTGACAGTGTCCAGGAGTTGGGTTCTGACCCCACCGATGTCAGGAAAGAGGCACAAAGCAAACATCTGCCTGGCTGTAGAGCTGAAACAAATATTTGACCACATTGTGTTCTGAACCCACAGATGACATCAAGGGAGAATTCCTTGGCACTGTTATAAACCAGGCACTATAATAAACCCGCCTTGTTCCCTCCTGTACCCCCATCTCGCTGCCATTCACCTCCCTGGGGAGACTTCAGAAGAGGAAGCAGACTGCAGAGTCTGCCTGGGGCCCTGCAGGAGCTCACTCTCTCGCGAAGGAAGCATGCTTCTGCTGGTGGCCCCGAGAGAAAGAAACTACAATGTCACATTGGCCAAACTGCTGTTGAACTTAAAGTAATAGCCTGGGGTTCGGGAAGGGGTCACCAGGGCCCCAACAGTTGTTGGTGGCTGGGATCACAGGACCTCTGAGAAGCAGAGCGAGGACCTGGGTTTTCTGGCTCCTAGTCCAACGCACTGAAACTGCTGAGTGATTTCATCAGAGATGGTCCCGGCACTGCTACTTTGCATTCCTACTAGTGAGGCTGTGTGTGCCCGACACCACGAACGTTCATCTTGTGTGTCCTCTACTCCTCCTCCTCCAGAAATAACCACCTTCACCAAGTGGGAGCTGGTGACCCTCCAAGCCCAAAAGGCCCACCTCTCCTTCCCTAGGGAGAAGGTGGTGAGGCTGAGACCACAAGGCTTCAGGGAAAGCGTTGGATGAACCCGATCCTGCTAGACCAGGAACCAGGGCTGCCTTTACATTTCTTTGCTGGTGAGATCAGACAGGTGAACTTGAAGGTCATTTAAGCTTAAACTCATCAATGCCGTTCCTTTTCCTGTGATTTAACTGCATCCTCACTGCAAGTGCCTGAGCTGGGGCATCTTCCTCAACACAAGGACAGCAAAGTGAACAAGAAACTCCCTTCCCAAAGGTTCTGCCCCAGGGTGTGCAGCCAGCTAGGCAGATGCTGAGTCCAGTGTGTACTCGCACCACCCTCAGGATCGAGACCCTACCACCCGAAGCCACCTCCTTGGGGCCCTGTCTCACTGTCCTGATGGCCACCCATGGAGTAAGGAAGGAGGGACAACTGGACAAGGAGGCCTGCAGGATGGGTGCACAGAAGGGCAGAACACTGCTGAGGAGCTAACAAACCAACAGAGCAGAAGGTGGACACGGACGAGGACGTGCCAGGCCCAGAGAGGCCTGGCAGCAGGGGAATTGTGGAGAGTGCGTGCGGGAGGAGACACTCTGGCAGATACACCAAGTGGGAGGTGTGAAAGGAGCTGGGAAGGAGGGCTGAGGGAGCTCTGCTATGAGTCATGATGGAACCTTCTTTGGGCGCTTGTCATGACAACCTAGTTAAGATTTAATTTGTTGCTCAACCACTTTTGTGTCCCTCTTGCTCTGGGCCTGTCGTGCATGCCTGTGTGACTCCTTGTGGTCAGCCCGGCTCTGTGTGGGTTTCCAGTCATTCCTGCTGTCAGCACCTTCAGGCCCCTCATCTCTCACACCCGCAGCTCTTGAAGAGCCCACAGTCTTCTTGAGAGCAAGGAGGTCCCCTGGCCTGGCCCTGCCGCTCCTGCCAACCTGAGCCTTATTCTTATTTGATCATCACTGTCACTGCTGGGCTGATGAGAGCCCCAGAACTCAGGTGCTTCTGTTTGAACTCCCCAATCCTCTATTAAATCACGGCAGTGTGCATCCTAAGTGCTACTCCTCCGGACTGGCTCCCAGGTCGTCTACGGCTTCATCCTATCCTGCTTTCTGCGAAGGCACACCTTCTAAGATGTTCAGTGGATAGAGTTTCTCTCCTGTTTTTATGTGGCTCTCGTCGGGATGCCAAATGAAAGAGTCTCAAATGGGACAGATGCTAAGAAAGTTGATTTAACTGGGAGTCATATTTTGCTAAACCTGGCAAGGCCACCGCTCGGCCTGGTCACACGAGGGATGTTGCTGACGGGATCTGTCCTAAGCACTAGCAGGGCCCAGGTCTGTGCTGTGTCTTGGGGTCCACACTCTACATGCTTCTGCAAGGGCCTCTCCTCGCCCTATTTCTATATGCATGCAACAAAATTTATTTTGTAAGTTTTGGATTTACAAATTCCACATATATTTTTGTTGACTCCTTTTAAAATAAGATTCTTCTCTCACGAAGAACAAAACAAACATCCCCCCAATTAGCAAGGGACACACAATCCTGTCCTTCCCTGTCAACAGGTACATCACCTTCTTACCTGGGCCACTTCAAGGGCAACTGTGGTTCTGTCTGGAACATCATGCCTGCCTGGTCAGAGTGTAAACTCCACGAGGGCAAAGGACAGACCTCCCCTTGGCTCACTGCTCTAAATGGCACTGCCTAACACTCGGGAGGGGACAGTGCCTATTTGCTGAAATCACAAAGGAGTAAAATTCAGCAACAGAAGGAACGCGAGAGACTTTGCGTGGCCTCTGGAGGGCTGACCTGGCATGATGGTCTTCTTGCATTCCTGGCACTTCGACGAGTACTCGTGGGAGTAGCAGTCTGTGCAGAGCAGCTGGTCCTCCTTGGCCGCGAAGGGCTTGTCCACCAGTGAACTCTTGCACCGCGAGCAGTGGAAACAGGCCTCATGCCAGTGCCGGTCCTTGTAGGACAAGTCCTGCAGACCCAGACCACACGGGACAGTGAGAGGAGGCCATGGGGGCTCCAGGCTGCCCTGCCTGACCCCCAGGATGTGGTGCAGGTGGCAAAGGGAATTGGGAGGGGGGTAGAGGCCTGTGATTGCACCTGGATCATGATAGCAGCTGCCCAGATGAGGAAGGTTAGACTGTTTTCTTGTTGCATTTGGAACCATTTAGACAGGTGTGTATATGTGTGTGTGTGGCCGGTGGGGAGGTTGAGGGGTGGAGAAAGAAGGAGCAAGGCAGAGAGAGAGGAGCTTTTGAAAAACAAGTGCATTTCCCTTAGGTATTGTGCCTAAGAAAAAGAACAAAAAACATGACTTCTCACTGATGCTTCTGAGCAAAGGGAGCTCAGCAGACTCAATCCTGACAGCAGGATCGTGGTGGTCACTGATGGGAAGGGAAGCCCTGAGTGGGGACATTCAGAGGGTCCCTGAGGACAGGGCTCTGGTTTAACCTGGTACAAAGCAAGCCGGGTGTGGCCCCATGGAGGTGCTACCTGCTGCTGTCAAAACCCAGGGATGGCAGAGAGCAGAGTAGAGGGGACAGAGAGGAAAGTGAGCCGAGAGAGCATGAGCAGGGGTGAGGTGGGAGAGAGGGGTGCTTTGTGGAGCTGTGCGTGAGGCTAGAGGGGCCCACCAGGCTCAGGCTGGAGCGGGAGGCACCTTCATGTCTGCAAGGAGTAGAACTGAAATTTATCTTCAGGGTAGTGGACAAAGGCGGACCTAGTGGAGAGTGCAGTGCTGAGGTTGCGTGTGACAGGTGGACCAGGACATCAGGTTGGGAAGAGGACAGTGCAGAACCACCACAGAGAAGCAGGGGCCTCTTTGGACATACAGGCGGGAAACAGAGGCAGGCGTGGCAAAGACAGTCCACACACTTTAGTGAAGGGTGAAAAAGAGATGTGAGCACAGGGTAGGAAACCGTGTCGACTCTACACTACCTGTGATCCTGCCTAAGGGAGAAGAAGAAATGTAAAAATCGCCTTTTTAAAGTGGCATATGGCTTTTTGAAAGTGCCAATACAAAGTTAACACAACCAATTCCTATCTAGCTTTATCATAAATGGGATTTTTTTTCTGTTGCCCTTCGTATACCCAACTGTAATCTGAAACCATCATTCGTTTATTAATGAGGCAGACACAGAATTGGGGGCCACTGTTTGGTTTCCTGGGCGGGCTTCCAGACCTGTGGCATTCTGAACCCCAGCTGCTCCCACAGACGCCCTCGGAAACATCCTTCCCAAGATATCTGTTCCCAACACCACAGTCGCAGCTGGAGCGAGGCCGAGTGTAGGACGGGAAAGCACTCATCTTGGATTTGATTAGAAAGTCCTGAAATACAAGTCAACTCGGAGTCCAAATGAGAACAAGCAGTTCCCTTTTGATGAAGTACCGGGGTGTGTTTTCCCAGAACCTTGAAGCAAACTGAAGTTGTTTGATTTGGTGATCTTTTTGTATACTGTTTTAGTTGAGGGAATTTTTAAAAATATAAATGTTGAATGCTTTGAAAGCAGTTGGGTTGCAGGGAAGGGTGTGCCTGACCTTGCTCCCTCGAACATGGCTCCTGTTAGCAGTTTGTGTCCTCAAACACCTGGGAGCAGAATTACAGCCAACGAGAGATAAGGAACGAAGTGCAGAATCTTCTTGGCCAGGGGAGCAGGGATTTCTTTCTGTGAGACTGATTTCGTTTACTGAAATGTTCCCCTTTCCATTTGGTGAGGCCAAACTTTGGGGCCTGTGAGCCGGGCAGACCACTGTCTGCCTCTTACATTTCTAGCCTAAAGACTTTGGAGAAATTTGGAGAGGAAAATCACCTTTGCTTTATTGGTTATTTGGCTTTACTGGTTATTTTGGCAATGAAATAAAATATAAGCTGTTTTGAGCTAATGACTATAAATGCAAATCATTATACAGTGACAACTATACTCTGCGTACATCCCTTCTTCAAAAATAAATCATTATTTTTCTCATCCTGGATGTTGATAATTATTACCCCACTGTGAGTTAAAGGCACTGTGCAGCCCTGTAAGGTAAATATTATTACTGAGGTTCTAAAGGTCAATAAGTTGCTCCTACTCACACAGCTGGCCAGTAGCTAAACTAGGGTTTGAGTTCAAGTCCTTCTGATTTGAAAGCTGTCAACCATACCAGGTAAAATCCTGGTAAAATCTGTGTGTTATGCTTTGCTTCCAAAAGTTAACCCTTTATGAGCTCTGCATACACCCACTGAAAAAATTCAGAAACAATGCCATATGAATGCAATTCAGCAATACCTTGGTTTAGACTTCCAATATAGTCAAAGGAAGCATTTAAAACCCTATCCAACAAGAACAGCAATTGGAGTAACATAAAAGAGTTGAGGTCCTTGGTCTTGCTATCACTGTCATAATGCTGACTGCAGAATAAATGTATTAAGAACTGTATGGAAAACAGTACTATAGCTCATCCAAAAATTGAACACACAACTACCACGTGACCCAGCAAGAGCACTTTTGAGTATATGCCCCAAATTGTTTGTATTTGTAGACAGACCCATGTTCATAGCAGCATTTATTCACAATAGCAACCCAAGTGTCCACAAAGAGATGAGGGATAAAGAAATGCAGCTGCACACACAATGGAGTATATTTCATCTCATAAAGGAAGCAAATTCTGATACTTGCTACAACATCAACAAACCTGGAGGCCAGCAAGCCAAGTGAAACAAGCCAGTGGCAAGAAGACACATCCTGTGTGATACAATGCAGACGGGACTCTGCAGCAGTCAAACCCATAAAGACAGAAAGTAGAAGGGTGGTTGTCAGGGACTGAGAGGAAAATGGGGAGCTGCTGTTTACTGGGTACAGAGTTTCAGTTTTGCAAGATGGAAAGCGTTCTAGAGAGCGGTTTCACAACAATGCAAATGTACTTGGCAGTGCTGAGCCATACAATTAAAAAGGGCTATGATGGTGAATTTTGTGTTATGTGTATTTTGCCACAGTTAAAAAAATGAGCTGTGACTGTCATGTAGTTGGTCAAAACATTTTTTTGAGAAGTTAGTCGGGCTCCCTCTGTACAGACTGGTCACCTCAGAAAAGACTGCTATTGTGGAAAAGTTGCACAATGTTTTCCACATTCTGTGAATCACTGCCTGGGTAAAAGGAGAACCCAGAGGCTGGGGAGTGGGGAGAAGGGGTATGGCAGCTTTCCTGGAGACACTCTAGGGGTCACTGTTGCTGCCCTGCCCAGGGAGCTGACACCACACATGGGGGCTACAGGCTGACAGTGAAAAGAGAAGGCAAGAAAATAAGAATTCAAGGAAATTTGCCTTTTGGGGCTGACCTTCCAGAACACTGAGGGAGGAACCTCCATGGATGACGAAAGAATGTCACCACTTTCTCCACCCTGCCTAGCATGTCCCTGGGAGGAGGGAAGTGTGAGCAAGGTGGTTAATATGACTGAGCAGTCATGGAAAAGCTAATGTTAAAACGTTCATGTGGATCTAAAGCACTGCAGGGATCAATTTTAACTCCAGTTAACATTTCTGGCATGAAAACACCGTGTCTATCGTTAAGGCTTTAAATCAGTTGAAGGCTGATTTGTTGACAGACATTTGATACGAGAAAGGGCCCCTCTAAATTTAGGGACTGTTGACATGTCCTTACTAGACCATAAGCATCAATTTGAGACTTGTGGTCTTTCCCAAGGCCACCCTTTTGACGCTGCTCCTCCGGTCCTCGCTCCGGTTCACTAATCCCTGCTCCTTTCAAGGAATGCACATTCCTCTGAGTGGGTGATCTAGAACATCCCCCGATGTTCACTCCTCACCTCAGCTTTCGCCTTCAGAGTAGATGCTGGGAAATGCTTCCCGTCCCATCCTCCACCCTGGAGAACTTGGTCGGGGCACCTTCCACAAGATGACCTGGGCTGAGCTAGCCCTGCTTCCCTTTCCTGGGGCTGTTGTGAGTCACCCACACGTCTCCCTCAAAGTCCTCTTCCCTCTCTGGCAAATGCATGCACACACATGTATTTTTGCCTTTATACACAATTCCTGATTTGGTTTATTCAAAGATATTTGTTATTTCTCGAAAGCTCCTGACAAGAAATGGAAATGGTTTCCCTATAGATCAATATGTTCATTCTCTTAAATTTCATGGTGTGCAATAAGTAAAAATAGTCTGTAAACTAACTTTACATCATTACTGTTGGTGGTGGGTCCTCAGTGGGCATATAATTGACCCACCCCTCCTAGCTGGAGACAGCGCTGACCTTCTTGGGGAAGCAGCTGTGCATGCAGGCAGTAGGGGGCCTTGGGTGGCTCACCCTCACCCCCTGTGTTATGAGCAGCAATGTTCCTGGCACCCTAGGAACATTGTAATCAATTCCATTGATTAAACTAAAGGGCTCTCAATTCAAATCCTGGCCATGTACCACTTACTTCATAGGACAAGTCCTTTCCTGCCTCAGCTTCTCATTTGTCAAATAGGAATAATAGCAGTGACCATTTTGCTATGAAGATTGAGTGGTACGGCTATTGCATGTAAAACATTTTAACATATAAGAAAATATTTTTACTAAGCATATGTAACTTGGTATATTGTGATTGCTCAATTAATGTTAATATTAACTAACACTCAGATCATAGCTAATAGTGAAAACAGTTGTCTCAAAGTGTCCCTGGCTGAAACAATTACTCATGAAGATAGTAATGTGTTAGAACTTCCCTTGCCTTCAAACTCCCATGTTAACAACGCTATCACTCTATTTATGAATAGTGTTTTTCACTTCCTTAGCCCTTTTCAGTCTAAAATTTTTTCTTAATCCTTTCTTACTTATTTTGAGTCATCCAATAGCCCTATGAGATAAGGTTTGATTTTTTTATAGATGAACACATTTACAACCATGTGAAAAAGCTGTGAGCTACATTTTCTGGAACATTCTCATTGCCTTTCAGCCTTCAGAGATCCAACAAAACTCAGATATGCATGTTTTGCTCAT